CCACCCCCATAAGCCTAAAACGTCGATACCGCCGGCGACTATTTCGCCATTGTATCAGTATGAGAGCTACATTAAAAACGGGTGTATCGTAAATCTTGGCTGCTAACAAAAACTTCGTCCAATCTCTGGCTCCAGGTATCATCAAAACTGCCCAAAAACGCCTATTTCTCTATGTCCAGGGCCTCCAAACGGGCCGTTTTCGGCTTATGGGGCTGTTCGTCAACTTCTCCCCAATCTACCCTGTAAGCTGGACCAACCCAAATCGATCCGACCTGGACCAACCCTAAACCATCGATAGCGTGTAAAAGCTGGGTTGGGTGGTGCCGGAGCCTTGGTATCTTACAAAAATCTCGGGAGGTGCTGTGGCACCGGGATCGCAGGGCTATAAGATCGCTCGCCATGATGTTTGTTGTAGAGCAGTAGAACTTTAGGTATCTTCAGCTCTAAAGATATATTCCCTAGTAACTCGTCAGTAGTAACAATAGTACTAACTATACACTTTGACAAGAAACTTTGTATACCTAAGCACTGCTCACACATTCCCCGCATCTTCTCTCTATATCCCGAAACTATATCTACCTCACATAGTTACACTGGGTTTCGCTGTCCCAACACTGCATTAGTTCTCTAGATACACCGCATCTTAGCAGCCGTTAATCTAACAACGCTACCTGCAACCCCCTACATACTGCAACACAAGCTATAAACGATATTTTATGAAAGAATACATATAGGAGAAGTTACGTGCATCGTTTGATGACAAGAAAGAGCAATTGAAGAAAGAAAGGGGAGGTATCATAGCACAGGTCCGTTATAGCCCGTGTGGTAAGTACGGTATTAGTGGTTCTATGCGAGATTTCGACAGGTTGATTTGGGTATATCACCAATAGAGGACACACGCACCCTTGTCACGTGACTACAGAGCGCATCAAGATACATCATGTACGATCGACGGTACGACGAGCAGGGAAATTGGGTGGTGCATGACGCTGTAATTGTGGTATTGGGGTCTTGTGGAAACTTTTGTACATATATACACATGTTATACACATGGATGATCGTCTCCGCCGGTATAAGCTAGTATACTTCCCCAGCCATGGAATTCACGATAGTCTTGCCATCCAACTTAATCCTCAGCAATGAGTCGATCAAGAGCTGCAAAAAAGTCAGTACCAACACACACATCTCACCACAACGAGTAAAGCAACATACCTTTCCCATCCTCCAACAACCACCCAGAACAATCAATCTTCCACTCATCCCCCTGTACCTTCACCTTGGCAATCCCAAACCGCAAAACCGCAAACTTGAACCTCAAAAAGAAATTCGTCCACTTCTGATGCACCCACCTGGCTGATCCCTCCCACACCCTGCCCAAAACACCATATCCCTCCAAATCCTCCCACACTTGCTGCCGTCGAAACCGCTCTGCCTCTAGCAGCTCCCTCACCATCGGCTCCGTCTTCTCGCTAATCGTCGCACCGCCAATGTTAGAGTAGATGACACGTTCCGTAGACCACGGGGCGGCTTTAGCCGCCATACGCAACTGCACGGGACCACCGCCCTGGAGACCAGGAACAACTTCAAGTAAGCGTATACGGTTGGTAGGTGCGGTGCAGATGTAACAGCCTATTGCGATGAAAGCGGCGCCGACGACGACGTAGGTTGGACGCACGAAGAAGGGGAGGCCCGTGTCTTTGATGTCATCGTTGAATTTGATGGAGAAGGCGCCTACGCCGATCCAGAGTAACCCAGTGCCATAGACTTTGGTGTAGTACCATTTGTTTTGCGGGGCGCGGTAGAGGAGCACAGGTTGTCGGGTTTGCGTAACTTGGCGGAGGACAGGGTCGTTGGAGAGGAAGGTGGAGCGCACAGGTTGGACGCTGGGCTTGACCGTTATGGCGTACCGGCGAAGGGTTGTGGTGGAGGTGCGGGTTGTGGTGAGGCGGGTGGGAGTGGGTGTGAAGATGGTGTCTCGTGCTCCGAAGAGGGCGGCGCGGAGGGAGGAGGGGAGGCGGAACGTCATTGGGTTGTTGAAGCCGCCTCGGGAGAAGGCTGGCATATTTGGAAGTTGTTGCTATGGGTAGGAGGACATTACTCGGCAATCAATTGTGCCGATTAGATCAATCTATCCCGTTTTCCTGTCGTGAGTCGAGGTCCGACATTTTCCATGTTCGCAACTAAAAAAGAGTGGGCCAAGCGCGACCAACATCCACCTCCGAAGCTGATTCCCGCCCGCCCAACATTTCCGACCTGAACTTCGTTTCCCTCTCCCACGACAGTTCGCTGCGCAATTGCCGTCCACCGGTCAATTCTTATCTGATGGCTTCAATCGCGGCGGTATATAGGGTTTCGGCTAGGGCTGCCTCGCAGCAGCTGCGCAGCCATGGCGCTCGGAGAGGTAAAGAAACAGCGCTTCACAATACCCACGGGATGTATGGCTGATAACAATGCACAGGACTTCACTCGAGTCAGGCAGCGCTGGCTGCCCAGAGCTTCAACATGCCTGCGCTTTCCCCCACCATGACCGAGGGCAACATTGCGACTTGGAAGATCAAGGAGGGCGATTCCTTCTCCGCCGGCGATGTGCTACTCGAGATTGAAACGGACAAGGCACAGATGGACGTTGAGGCCCAGGATGACGGTGTCCTGGCAAAGATTACAGTATGTGCATTGATTCCGTATACACATGGCATGGCTAATCAAGGTGGTGTAGGTGGGAGATGGTTCAAAAGCAGTCCAAGTCGGTACACGGATAGCAGTGACAGCCGAACCAGGCGACGACCTCAGTACTCTAGAAATCCCTGCCGAAGAGACCACCCCCTCGCCCAAGAAAGAGGCCTCTGCGCCCAAGGAATCCGCCCCCATACCAAAAGAAGAACGCACCTCCGCACCACCACCAGCTCAAAAGTCCACGTCCAGCAGCGGCAAAGCAACAAAACAAACCTACCCCCTCTACCCCTCCGTCCAACACCTCCTCAACATCAACAACCTCCCCGCATCCGAAGCCGACAAAATCCCCGCCACCGGCCCCAACGGCCGCCTCCTCAAAGGCGATGTCCTCGCCTACGTCGGGAAAATCGACAATGCGTACCCATCCGAACTAGCCACCCGCTTCAGCAAACTCTCCCACCTCGACCTCTCAAACATCAAGCCCATGGCCAAAAAGGCAGACGCGCCCAAGAAGGCTGCTGCTACAAAGGATACCCCAGTTGTGGAGGAGGCACCCGTTGAAGTGGCACTCCCCGTCTCACTAACTGCAGTCATGGAATGTCAGAAACGCGTCAAAGATTCCATTGGTGTATTCCTGCCCCTTTCCACCTTTGTCGCTCGCGCAACTGAGCTGGCGAATGAGAGTTTACCCCGTTCTAAACTCGCCAAACCCTCGGCTGATGAGCTGTTTAACGCCGTGTTGGGGTTGGATAAGGTGGCGGCCAAGTCCTCGCATGGCACTTTCGTTCCGTCTGTTCGGTCGTTTGCTCCTGCGCCCCCGGCGACGGCTGCGAGGAAGACGGCGGCAAAGAAATCTGATATTTTGGATTTGCTGGCGGGCAAGAAGACGGCGGCGAAACGTACGAGTCCTATGGCACGTGGTGCTACAGACGGCCCGTTGAATGTATTTAGTGTGACTGTTCCCAAGGGGGATGAGCGGAGGGGACGCGTGTTTTTGGAGAGGGTGAAGAGTGTCCTTGAGGCTGAGCCAGGGCGGTTGGTTGTGTAGGTAGGCTTCTTTTGTATGATGGATGGGTTATGTAACTCATGTCTGTGTTTTTGCTGTATTTGTATGAATGATATGGTATAGTTAGAATATAGATACACTTGATGAAATCGGCCATGTGTGGAAAGGTGTCTCTTCTTCATCTTTACATTCTCTGTTTTGCTGTTACTGTGCTTTCGTCTCGATGTGTCAGTACACATCGTTTAACGTGGATAACACGGAAAGAGTTGTGTGTTGTGTGTTTCATGTACTTCATATATGACCAACAACAATACGGAAGTATCTATCCACGTATCTCTTAAAAATTGAGATAGAGATCCGAGGGTAAAAAAGAGAACAAACGCCACTTATGCAACAGAAAAAACAGCAGGGTAAAGAAAGAGAAGAATAGAAAGAAAAGGTACCCATATATGCACCCACCAACCCCCCACAATCCAAATTCAAAGTTCCCAGACCCAGAAGAAACCCTCCAAGGACGTGAAATGTATAATTCTCCCCGCCCGCCCCCACCGTTCTCTCAACGGTGAATCACCCTCGCCCAAGACTGCACATCATCTTACCTCTTCTCCACAAGCAACAAATGCATAGCCGCATACGCCAAGACGACAAACGCGGCGCCGAAAACGCCCAAGCCAATACAATCGCCCCAAAGGGCCTGAGTATCAAAGCCAAAAGAGCTCAGGATAGCCGAGCCAGGGACTTCGATATCAAGGCCGTATTTATGGTCGATGAGGCTGAGATATTTGACTTCGTTTACAATGAGGCCTTCAAAGGCGTAATGGAAGATTGAGAGCTGTGGTTGGATATGTTAATCATGTGCTGTGTTTTACATGCAAGGTCAGGGAAAACATACCGATTGCAACCACTTCGCGACGCCCGGAATACTCTCCTTGTTCAAGAAGAAGCCGGAAAAGAGTAAACTAAATAACATAACCAGGACACCGATGAGATTCGCAACCCCAGAGTTGCGGAACACAATGCCGATGAAGAGGAAAATAGCCGCGGCGGCAAGGTTAAAAAGCACCAGGAAGAGAGTAAATTTCAAAAAGTTTGGCCACGCTGGAATAAGACCCGTCATGGGGTACACAATGATACCGAGGATGATCGGGGGCAGGAGACGCAGGGGGATGATGTCGAAGATGACTTTAGCGGCAAAGTAGGCGGGAGGCGAGTAATATCCCTTTGCGCGTTCGCGAGTGAAGAGGAGACGTTCCGGGGCGAAGACGGTGAGGATGGTTAGACTGCTGAAGCCGAAGAGAGACAGGACAAAGAGGAAGAGACCGAGGCGGTTTTGGAACCCTTTGATGTCGTCGGTGAGGCCGTAGAAGAGGAAGCCGAGGAAGACGGCAAGGACGATGGCGATGGCGTAGTGGGTTAGCATGAGCATTGGGTTACGGTAGAGGTTGCGCCAGGTACGGAGGGATAGAATCTTGAATTGGCCCAAGAGACCGACCTTTCGGAATCCCTTGAGTTTGCCGGCTGCTACGAAACCGTTTAGCTCCTGGTTTCCGTTGTGGCCGTTTGCGTGGTTTGCGCTTGCAACCGAGCTGGCAATGTCTTCGCGAATGCGGGCCGAGATGTCGGAAGAGATGTAGGCGTTAATGAGAAGGTCGAGGTTAGTTCCAGTTGCGCCGTTGGCAGGCGGAGGAAGCTCATCGGGGTCTTCGAGGATTTGAGGAGGCACACCACCTTGTTGACGAGTAAGCTTGAGCCACTGAGCTTTGATAGCACCGCGACGGTCATACGGCTCTTCGTCGGTTTTGGGTGACATGGAACCGTCGTTAACAGGAGCATTCTTCTTTCTTGTAAATAGCTCGCGTTCTTGTTGCTGCTTGATAGAGGTCCTCCTCTTGCCCTTTGGTCGAAGTATGCTGGAATTGCTAGGACTGCCGGCAATGTCGCGTTCGAGCTCCGAGGTGTTGATGCTAGGGATAGATTTAACGGCGATTGCACTGCTTGCGCTCGTGGTAAGCCCGTCTCGGTTGAGATCACGGTTCAGATCGCGGTTGAAGAGCGAGCTGTCCTCATCAATAGGTTGGCGTGCTGTGCTTGCGTGCATGGTAAGATCCACAATGTAATCTGCAATGTTGAAACCAGGTGGGCAGGTGTAACCAAGCTCGTCGAAGTATGCCTGACAGCTGTCGAAAGGCCCGGAGTAAACAGTCCTACCCTTGGCGAGAAGAATGAGCTGGTCGAAGAGGGCTACGATGTTGGAGCGCGGCTGATGGATGGTGAAGACGACGGTACGGTTGTAGTTCTTGACGAGATTGACCAGACATTCAACGACGTTGAAAGCGTTGTAGGCGTCCAGTCCGCTGGTTGGCTCATCGAGGAAGAGGATGCTAGGTGATGTAACAAGCTCACAGGCGATACCCACACGACGCTTCTCACCGCCAGAAATACCACGGCCGCTTTCTTCGGAACCGATCTTTTGGTGGCGAATGTGGTAGATGCCGAGTTGACGTTCAACATCTTCAACTTTTTGTTCCTTTGAGCTGCGGCTCATCTCCTTGGGTAGACGTAGCAAGGCCGAATCGAGAATAGTCTCATGGACAGTCAAGGTGGGTAGGAGGGTATCCTCCTGGTCGACGAATCCGATAACACTCCTGAACTCGTCATCGCGTACCTTTTCTCCATTGACGTAAAAGTCGCCGCTATCAACTCCAATCTTCTTCTTGCGGGCCAATATGTCCAAAAAGGTCGTTTTACCAGCACCGGAAGCTCCCATGATAGCCAGAAGCTCACCAGGATGCACTGCGCCTGAGATGCCGGAGAGGATCTGCTTTCCATTAAGGTTGTATGCAACATTTTCAAACAAGAAAGCGGCTGGTTTGTGGTCTGCGAGCAGTTTCGCGTCCTCATCCTCCTCGTCATCAGAAAGATGGATGGGTCCGTATCGCCTGCTTTCAGCACGATGAGTGAGGTACCACACAGCAAGGATGACTGCTACAATGAATAGCGCACAGCCAGCAATGACGCCTGCAATCAAAGGTGTGTTGATCTTCTTGATGGGCCTTTCGTAGCCAGGTACCTCGGTATGGTACAAGCACTCGCCAGTGTCGCACTGCAGGAAGATGCTTTCATCACCAAAGATGCTAGAGATCAGGTCGTTCATGGCAGGCTCGGAGAAGATGCTTCCACTCTCCTTTTTGTTGGTAGCCGAAATGCCTCTGAACTCGGCAGGACCCTTGATGGACTCCTTGAGGAAGTCTCCAATATCGACAGACCCATCTTCTCCACACAGCATCCTGTCAGGGACACATTCGCACTTTATGTTCTCGCATCGGTATTTCGTAACGTTGCGGTCGGACTCGGCAGTGAAGTGGGAGGAGCACGTGTCGAGGGCGCAGTAGAAGGATTCCCTTTGATCGACCCAGACTGCGACTGTTAGCTATAACGTGGTAGCGATAGGGAAGGCTTACACTGAAAGTTGCACTCTTCGCTCTCAGCATTGCAAGAAAAGGTCGCCTGCGGCTTCTTGTCTTTGAGAGTGTCGAGAATCTTCCTGTTTGTAATGTCGCAGATCTGGAAGTTCTCCTTGACCAATTGACCGTCCTTGTAACACACGCCACCCTCACCATCTGGCATCATGGCGTTGCAAGCATCGTTGGTTTGACAGACATTGCAGTTGATGCCTGACCAGCCCTCGGAACACTCGCACTCTTTTGCGCCTCCCCTGGGGGAGCGATCCTTTCCATCTGGAAGGGCACCGCACAGCGGTTCTGAACAGTCCTCACCACCAAACCCTGGCCCACAGCTACACCGTCCATTTGCCTTGCTGCAGTCGGCAAACTGCTTGCACTTGAAGTCCTCGAGGTTGCAGTTGAAGCATGGCGGGCATCCGTCTGGTCGGTCACCGTATATCGAAAAGAGCGACTGGGGCGATTCAGCGATGGAGTAGTTTGCAAATGTCTTATGAGCTGTGCATGTCGAGGCCAGGCCCAGCACGGCGGCGAGCGACGTCGCCCAAGCTCGTTGGCGCATCGCGTGTTGCGCAGCGCCGGGATATCGTATCGCAGGCGGCGCGAGGTGAACAGGTAACAACAGGCAGCGGCGATGGGTGGTGTGATATATGACCAGGTACTATTACTGTACACTCGGGATGGAATACGACGACGACGACGACGACCAAAGGAGCGGCGAGAGAGCTAGACAGCTCGTGACAGACTGTGGAGAGAGAGGGACGGGACGTAGCGATACGATAGCGATGGCGGCTTGCTGGGTATTGCTATCATCGGCCTTGCATGCTTGTGATTCGCGGAGGCTGGGCCAAACTCCAGCCAAGCATCATGGCGGACGGTTAGACCGAGGCACATACCAGCTCGTCGTCATCCACGTCTCACACCATGTCATTACACTACCACTACCAGTATGCCCAACAAACCATTATTGCGGCGCGAGAAACGTGATGGCGCGTCTGCTACAAGCGCGCCGCCTTTTCTTCGGCCAGACGTGCTAGGTAGTTAGACCTGGCTGCCGGGTGTCCGGCCAGTAGCTAGCATCCCGGCCCGCTCATGTGGAACCCTATGGAGGGGAGATTGTCGCGCCCTATGTCTACACCTGTGTACATACAAATGACCAATATACATATATAATACCTTTAATTAGACCACCAAGTTCAGCTCTTACAACATCCAGAAATCTCCACCATGGTCAAAGTAGACGACTTCGCCGTAGAGTCCGTACGTCATCCCCCGCATTCCGAACCACGACATGGGGAAAAACTAAACACCCTGCAGTGGATGGACGCATATGAGACAAAATGCAAGTACAACATTGCCGAAACATGTTGTGCCTCAGTCTCTATCGATCAGCTACGCGACCTGTCTGATAAAAAAGAGACACCCGTCTTCGACACTTCGCGTATCCTAAACTATGGTGACATCAGAGGCAACGAAGAGCTACGGAGTAACCTCGCACGTCTCTACTCTGCAAAAGTCACCACGCCCCTATCCCCAGACAACATTCTCACCACCCCAGGCGCCATACAAGCAAACTACCTAGCCACCTACACCCTCATCGGCCCCGGCGACCATGTCATCTGCCACTACCCTACCTACCAATCCCTCTACGCTGTGCCCGAACAACTTGGCGCCAGCGTCTCCCTCTGGAAAGCTTCCCCAGAAAACGCGTGGATACCGTCCATCACCGACCTAGAAGCCCTCATCCAGCCCACCACCAAACTAATCATCATCAATAACCCCAACAACCCAACCGGCGCTGTCCTCGGAAAATCCTTCCTCCATTCCCTCATCAACCTCGCCTCCACCCACAACATCACCATCCTAAGCGATGAAGTCTACCGCCCCCTCTTCCACTCCCTCGGCCCCTTCGACAAAGACTTCCCCCCCTCCCTTCTCTCCATGGGTTACGAAAACGTCATAGTAACCGGCTCAATGTCAAAAGCTTATTCGCTCGCTGGTCTACGCATCGGCTGGATAGCTTCTCGCAGTTCCTCTCTAATCGAGAAAGTAGCGTCTGCACGCCACTACACCACGATTTCCGTGTCCGCCCTCTCCGAACACATTGCCGCTTTTGCCCTTTCCCCCACCACTGTGCACGGCCTACTCGCCCGCAACATCCAGCTCGCCAAGACGAACCTCGCGTTGCTGGAAAAGTTCATGGTGAAGAATGAGGATGAAGCTACCTGGGTTAAGCCCGTGGCAGGTACGACAGCGTTTATAAAGTTTCATAGAGACGGTAAAGCCGTGGATGATGTGGATTTTTGTAAAAAGCTACTCGAGACCACGGGCGTGCTTTTTGTGCCGGGTAGTACGTGTTTTGGAGAGGAGTGGAAGGGTTATGTGAGGGTGGGGTTTGTGAATCAGACTGAGGTTGTGAAGGAGGGCTTGGATGCAGTGACGAAGTTTGTTAGGAAACAGTTGGATGAGGTTGCGTTGGCGGAGTGAGTAAGTTGGTATTGTGCATACGGTTAAGTTCGGAATGTGCTATGTGTTAAGAATATGTTAGGTTCAGTCCAGGTCGGCGAGGTGAGGTTCGTGGAGTAAGCCCGAGCAGAAGGACCGACGCGGAATGATGATCTGTCATGTACGTCCTAAGATCATCATAACAACAAGTAGATAGAACAATAGCTCTTAGTGAAGTTCAATCCAATACAGGGTTACCTTTCGTACCTCTACTCGGTCGCCTATGGTAGTCATACCACCAGAGGAGACCTTGTTCTAACACTATGTATATTTTCGACAACTATGAGCATCTTGGATTTTGGTAGTCCTCTCCGGACCTTTTGTATTCAAAGGTCGTTGTCTACGCTACCTACGTACACTAGTGTTCACAATTGCTGCGTCATTTATGTCAGTCGCCATTTATGTCAGTCGTCATTTATGCCAGCTCCCGTCAATTATGTCAATTGTCGTCAATTATAATAAGTGAAATAAACGACGCAATAGACCACTTCTATCATTAGCCTTAGTAACCCCTGCAAGCTATCTTGTAAGCAGTGTTGCTGCCTCGTCTTCATCTATCATAATTGACGATAATTGTCCACAATTGACGACGACAGCCATAAATGACGACGACGCAGCAACCATGCCTGAGTTTTGTTGTACTGCACTCACTTATTCGCCCCTGTCTACCCACAAACACATGCGGTAGACAGTGTTGCTGCGTCATTTATGGCAACCATAGATTTTGATTCCTGAATTATTCAAATCAAACACCCGGAATCAGAGTCAAATCAGGCCGAGTCAGCACGAATCAGAGTCAAATCAGAGTCAAATCAGAGTCAAATCAGAGTTAGGTGTTGTTGGTGTTTTTGTATAGTTATACTGCAAATAGGGTCCTTAGAGCCTCACTGTCCCTCACTGTCGCTCCCATAATTACTGTCAATGTAGTCATTTGGCAGTCTATAAGCGACACCACGGTGTGACCAGTCCTTTAACAGCTCCGAGCATCTAATTGTGTTAGCACTCAACTGAGATCTCTCCCACGACGTTGTCCTTCTCGCCTTGCTAAATGTTCGCTCCGACTCAGCGCTCATTGCAAAGGCAGAGAGCACGTCAATAGCGAGTTGTGACAGGGCAGGGAAGGTTTGTCGTTGTGTCGGCTGGGCCCACCACTTAATAACCGTCATTTGTCTCCCTTCCAGGGTTGGCAGTCGACTCGGAGGGGCGTAGATGAAGGCTTTAAAGTTGTCCTCACTGTCTGCAACAACGGCTGATTGTCGTTGCCACTGATCAAAGGCTGACAACTCGGCTGCGGAGGTGTCTTGATCCCTTAGGCTGCTGGACAGGGTAGGCTCAAGCCGATCACGGTACATATGCCATAAGGCCTCTGCCCGTTGCAGACCTAATTTCAACCACTTCTTCTTCTCTGTTGTATTCCATTGATTCTGTAGCCATTTGTAACGACGCTCTGGGTGCAGGAGGGCAGCTGTAATGTAGGCACCACTCTCATCAATAAGCGCGTAGTACTTGCTAAAGAGAAACCAGGCCGTGTTCAGTGGGGCGAGCAGAGTCTTGTGCTTAGAATGGTGCCTCTGTTGTTCTTCGAAGTGGTTAATTAGGAATTCCATGGATGGTTGGAAACAGTCAAGGGTTGCTTGATATCCCTCTGCCTTAAGAGTTACCTCCTTAAAAGGAAGAAGGAAGTTATGGACATGTTCTAAGAGTGTCCATTCGTCGTCTGTAAGCACAACTAACTCCAGAGCATCAGGATATCTTGTATACAACGCATTGAGAATAGGCCTTGTTCTGAAGGCCTCTTCAATCATAAGAAGCCAACCATTCCACCGTGTCTCGCCTGGGATCTTAGGGATAGTTGCTGGGCACTCTGGGAACCCTTTCGCCAGTGTCTTAAAGGCTTGATTAAACTTGTCGTCTCGCAGAATAACTGCAAAACTGCGGAGTTTTGCGAGTGCAGGGTGCCTTACAAGGGCTGTCTTTGCAATGTTGTAGTTACTCCCACTGTAACTCTCCGTCCCGTCCCTGTCAGACTCCAATTGTGACAACCTTGCTCTTTCATATGCTAGTTCCGCTGCTTCCTCGTTGGTTGCGAACATAAAGGCCTGTGTAGCGAGGTTGATAATATGGCCAATGCAACGTAGTCTTCGTGTCTTCTCAGTCCAGTAGTTGATGCCTTCAACACGCGTGAAGGCCTCAATTGCACGGATAAGCGAGTCATTCACTCCTACATTGTCAGAGCTTATCCAGCCCAACCGTGTAGTAAGGTTGTACTTCTTGATAGTCTGTATAAGAAGTGTAGCCAAGTATGCCCCAGTTTTAGACTCTTCGCTATCAACGTTGACAAGGTCAAGAAGGAGTTGAATTAGCTGTCCATTTTGGTCAACAAACTGGACATTTACCGCCTGGAAGTGCTTATGCCCGTGCATCGTCTTCCACGTGTCAGTGCTGATGTGGAAGCAGCTGATTGTATCGTCGCAGAGATACCGAATAACCTCCTCTTGTTGAGCGCGGAAGTTCCGGACAATGCGTGAGGACAGTGAGCTACTGGAGCGAAGTAATACATGCTCAGCCTCGGGGTTGACAGCTATAATCAACGCTTTGAATTCGTCAGAGACCACTGATTTGTGCGATATACTGCACGCTGTCACGAAGCGGGCGAGGGCGTTGCGGAACGGCTGCTTTTGAGCAGCATTGCGGAGGACTGTGACGGTTTGATTGTGACTAGATTCAGCATGCTTTGTAGTCATATTATGAAGGCCTTGTTGCAGGTTGTTGGCTTGTGCAATCGTCGAGGGTGTAGCTGAGAATCTGCCCACAAAGATGGCATGTTTTCGGAGGTGACGAGCCGCATTGCTTGATGGGCCCTTCCAGTTACAATTGCCCTCTGCGCAGTAGAAGATTTGATGGCCATGATCATCCCTCTCAGCCTCGTAGGGTAGCCGTGCTCTTGCGTGCTTCCAAACTGACTTGTCCTTCTGCCCGAGGCCTCTGTGAGGTGTACTGCTGCCTCTCTTCCTCTTGAGAAACTGTGCCCCAGTCTCCGTCGCAGGAATAACTGGCGAAGGCGTCGGAGGTGCAGATGATTGGGACTGGCTGTCGGCATCGTTGAGGAAGGAGGCAATCCTCTCATTGATATCAATCAGGCTGGTATTGTCGGTGTCCTCTGCAGTTCCTGACTCGTCCAGCGGTGCGATTGACGCATTATCATATATATCATCCTCATCAGGGACAGCGAATGTCTGGGTTACGCGGCTTCTTCTAGGACGATTGGCCATAGTAGAAGCCTGGAAGGTGGGTTGTCAAGCGGAATAGCTTAGGAGGAATCATGTCGATTGGTCTATCTATCGCGAGCGGCAGCCTATATGAGGCTTCCTGGCTAAGAGCAAACAGATAGACAAAGATCAGATAGAACAAAGATAGGATAAAACGATAGGGCAAACAGCAATCAGCTGTACAGACCGGAAACTTCCCGGCTCCTTATCAGAGCTCTGGCTGACATAGGTTAGTAGGTTAGATGAGGGTGTGTATACAGCTGAGAGACCGAGTTCTTGAGGATTAGGTATAGCCGAAGTTGAGCCGGCTGATTCAATTGATTCAGAGTCAAATCAAAAGGTCATGAATCTGAGTCAAATCAATCAAATCAAATCAGATTTGATTTGATTATGAATCAGGAATCAAAATCTATGATGGCAACCAGCGTCATTTATGTCTGTCGTCGTCAATTGTCGTCAATTATCATGAGCACGGTTACTACGTTATTTATGTCAGCTTTTGTCATTTTTGTCTCGTCGTCGTCAATTGTCGTCAATTATTGTAAGTGACATAAATGACGCCCGTATATACCGTATACAATGATATCCTAACTTTATATAGTTAGCGTGTCATTTATGTCATTTATGGCAATTGCCTAACAAAATGCCTTGTCATCGTCAGTTGTATTAAATGACGAAGAGGCAGCAGCCCTGGCGGTAGACCATCAAAGTTTAACATTCCATTTTACATCAGCACAGCCGCCGCAGACCGCAGGTCACAGGTCGCAAACCGAACATCTCCACCTTAACCCCTAGTTCCCAGTACCCTCCCCTCCCCTCAGCCCTGTGTCTACGCCTGTGCCACACGAAGGCGCAGCAACATACTCACCACAGCACGCCTCAACTACTCCGAATGCACGACATAGAAACAAAATACCTAACAATCCATTACAATACCAACAACGTCATCTCCATCTTTCACTTCACCCATCCCCACAGCCCCTAGCAGAACCAGATTTCTACCCAGCAGTGTAAGGGGAGGGAGAAGGGGCATGCTTAGGTTTTACGTGGGAAGAAGGGGGGAAGAAGAAAGAGACATTTTATACTATACTAGAGTAACAACAATCAGCATCCCAAGCCAAAGCGGAAAACAGAAACGGTACTAAGAAATCTGCATTATTCATCATATGGGATATAGCCTTCTTCCCTCCACCTACCCCTACACCTCCGCCCCAGCCTCTAAAAGACCCCCAACAGCTTCTTGTATCCTCACCCCCTCCTGCCTCATCTTGTCAACTGCAACTTGAAGTTTCTGATTCCTAGCTCGTAAGCTGGATATTTCCGCTCGGAGGAGTGGGACTATGTTGTGATGTTGTTGTTGTTTTACGTTATCGCCACCTTGCCCTTGTATATCTCTTTCTCTGTCTTCTTCCAAGCCTCCTACTCTTTGTATACACCCTCCACCTTCCTCTTCAATCACCACGCCTTCAACCATCCCCGCTGTCCCGGGGGCTAAGCTATGTTTACAACCGCAAACAACAACCTCCTCCAGCCCCCTCACCCTCTCCTGCAGCGCCTTTTTCTCAGAAGCCCATGTTTTACGTTCTTGTTCGCTTTGGGCTTGGAGGCGAGTTGCTAGATCGAGGATGCGAAGGTATTGGGATGTTGACGCTGGGTCTGAGGGGGTTGAGACTGATGTGGAGTATGATATATTGGCGGGGGGTAGGTGGGTGGGTGGTGAGGGGCTTGTGGTGCTGTTGTTTTGGGTTCTGTATTCTGGGGGTGAAGAGGGATACGAACTTTGGAGTTGGTTGTGCGAGGAGAGTGCGGTGTGTGATGCGCCGAGGGAGGAGAGTTGGGGGGTTTGGAGGTGCAGTTTATGGGCGAGGGACTGCGTGTAAGGGGGGTGCGGGGTGGTTGATTGTGTTTGTGTAGGCCATGGGTGGTCTTGGGATGAGGAGGGACGTTGGGGCCGGGGGAGTAGTGTGTAGGTGGAGACATGGAGGTACTGCTACTGCTTGGCAAGTGCGAGGATGAGGGCGATGCGAAGTCTTGTCGAAGAAGTCGTATTTGCCGTCTGCGGAGGCGAGTAAGGAGTCGTATATGTTGACGTAGATGGCGGCGAGCCCTGGTGCGAGGACGTATCGACTGTTGTCACTCCTGTCACGCAAAGATTTCTCCATCGATCTTCTGGGTCTGTTTCCCCGCCAAATTCACGCTGGCGTGTGTGTTGTCGCAAGGGCGGAGGGAGCTGATCATCGCTTCCGTCCAAGTAATGTTTTGCTCTTTCCATGTTTGGCATGTCCACAAGTGATGACTGAGGTTGTGAATTGCTTGCCGATCCCAACTCCTTGTCCTCTTCTAATCGGACACTACTCTTATGCTCAAGCTCAAGCGCCCATTTCAGTAATTCTTTGCTCGTAGGAAGACTACGTAGAGGCGGCTATTTGGACGTATCAGCGTTCAGCGCTTCGAGACGTGCTGACGTTAGCTAGTTTGGGGACGGATAAGGAAACTTACCGCATGCGATAGATGATGGTCTTGGTGCTTAAAACTTCCGACTTTGGTAGCTAATATAGTCGAGCTTAGAGCAAGTTCTTGCAAGAATGAATGCGAGTTGAAACACACTTGGGGATCATGATTAGGGGAACGGCAGGCCACTATCCTTGCTGCGGGCGCCGGGTCACTACCCGAACGAGCGTGTACGCCTGAACCGCTATTATGCTGAGCACCCAACAGCGGGAAAGGTTTCAAACGGGTTCGTGCATCCTCTGTAATCGCATCAGTAACGCATCTACTTCAGAAGGCGGAGGGTGGGAATGATCAGCAAATTTTGCGTCCCAATAGGATGGACGCACCACCGCGCTACACGCGCTTTGCCGTACTCACAGATTGCGCTTCTCCCCGAAACAGACATGTGTAATATCTATGAACAAGGGTAGACCATACCTGTGTAACTCGGTTGTGGACTCCGCCAATAAAAGTGTTCAAAGACGTTGAAAAGGGGCTGAGACCGAAGTTGCGATTTCTCCAGTGGCGCATCTTGGTGCAATGGAGGCAGGCATTGCGGAGATCTTGGCATTCCAGATCCTGCTGATGTGCTGCATGATGGGATTGGAAGCGGTGGTAGCCTGCGTTGGTCCAAGAGGTGATATTTTCCAGAGCCGGTTTGTGGAAGGAGCGGAGACGACTGTTGAGCAGTGAAGGCGGCACTTGTTGAGCAGCGACGCTTGATATCAAGTTCCACGTACATGTCGCTTTCCCATGGCCGTTTTTGATCGATTTGGAACTCCATATGTGGAAATGACGGTTGACGACTGAAAGTCAACCTTGTCTTTTGCCATTCAGGTCGACAAAGCGGTTGTTAAGACATATTAGAAAAGGCTGCATCGAAAGACTGTTTTGGCCATCAAAAAAGTCAAATTGCTACAGGATTACTAACAAAAACTGCTTTTGCTGGAATGGGGTGAGGAGCTTTGACGGTTAGTCTGGTGACATTCCCTGTTTCTTTGCGTGGGGCGTTCAATGATGGTGGTATGATTTTTGAACTAAGCATAAGTGTAATCAAAAATGCATAATTAACATGAGAAATAGAATGCAACTCTTAGTAGGCTTCAGCTTTCACTGAATCGTATGCATTCGAGTGCGTCAATGCACGCGAAATGCTACGTCGGTGGCCACAGCCAGCGCTCAGCATACTACCATACCAGTGGCTGCTAATACCTCTAAGAAGTTAAGCTATAAAAAGCCAGCTTCCAGATAGAGTGGAACATCTCCAGTGAAACCTTGGTAATCCGAGTGAATGAACACATCACGGGGCACGACGGTAGTTGCCATATTCGTACGGTGCAACCTCGGCCCTAACATGCCGAAGAATGCAGTTATTGTAGTGAGCCAGTCAGAATTCATGCAGAAATCCCCATCGCAAACCGGAAAACAGTTTGTGGAAGGGACGAGTGCTGAGTAAGACAGATACATGATCATTGGTAATGATGAGCGTTGGACTATTCAAGCTTAGCGTAGTTAGTCAGCGTACAACAGCTTGGTGTTGAAATGTGGCACAGTTCGTATCGTGTGATCTCCAAGGGCATGTGTGGTTTTAGGAAACATGTTGTGAAGTTGGTCGGGAAGGCGCTAGACGTCAGTCTTGCCGCTTGCCCGTTGCAGTTGGTGTACTTACGTACACAATGTGCACGAGATGCATGTACTAAACTGTAATCGGAGACTTTGAACATTTTAACACCTTACCTTGCATAGTCGTGCATGGAGAAAACAAAACATCTACTGCTGGAAGTGAACCTCTATCGCGCATGAGGTGTCGCCACTACAGTACGACACGTTGTAGTTTGTATCAAAGCTACCATTACTTCATCTAATCTAGTCCAAACTCAAACTAGAGTATACACACAAAAGGCTTGCATGAACCCATGTACAAACTTCCACTATCCCTGTTGTTTGGAAAGAGCCGTCATCGTGTGGTTGGCTGTCGCTGGTATCATGCTTTCAAATCTTGGCCGGGTACGTTAACCGTCTCATATGCGCCAAGCCGGGGCCTGTCTATCAGCATCCACCGGTGACATTCCGACGTCCCGCGCGATCACTCGGAGACGATTCTCAACCCAATCCTTTTCTTTTGTAACGACCTCGGCTTCAATCTTCTGCATTGTCTGTAGCTCGTCCAAGGTTCCGCGTATAATCGATGTGCATGCCTCTAGTATGCATGCGATGCTTGATCCGGGGGATGGCGTAGCTAACCTTTCCAGGTCGCGGGAAAACCCAGTCAATTTCCGAATCAATGCTGCATTCTCGGCTTTCCAAGAATCTCCTAGACCTTCAATTGTGCCGAGCGCCTTTTTATCCCCAGCAAAGTTTTGACGGGCAGACCGTATGTCTTGTACCCATAATAGCCAATGCTCAAAGTCTGCTATGAGGCGTTGGAGACGGCCACCCGATTCCACCAGCGATGGTAGCTCATGGAGAGGCTCGGAGAGGATCTGGATGTGTTCGACCAGCCCAGATGAGCCGCCAGCGGTCCATTCGAGTAGAGACTGAAGGTTCTTTTGCTCTTGACCGGCACGTTCATTCTCTAGCATGATTTGATATAAGCTAGCCACTTCTTCGAACCTATGGTGCAAGCTACGCTTTGCGCTCTGTTCCCAACATCTGCTCACCTCTGCTGACGATTTATGCAAAAGATGGAGCTGGAGCAGTTCCGATTGGATGTTTACCATCTCAGGAGGAAGCGCATGAACTGCGGGTTGAGGAGCGGGATTGATGAATGTTGAGGTTGGAGCCTTTCCTACTTTACGTGGCGTAAAATGTTGTTGAAGTGTACTAAAGGCTGGTCGACTGGTTTTCTTAGGTTCTTCGGGTCTTGAACCCGCCGCACTGCTTTCACCAGATGTCGCTTCGGATTTAACCTTTGTGCTCGCCGTTCGACTTAGTCCTGCAATCCGCCCAGATGTCCTCGCCGCGGCAGGTACTGTCTCTGCAGATGCACTTTGTATTTTTGAGTTACGACTTGGTGGCATCATGAGAGACTTTGGCCGATCCGAGGCGGGAATTGATTTAGGAGCTTCTTTTCGTGCTGCTGATACTGTGATGGCAGATTTCGTTCGAGCATGCCCAGTAAGCCTTGATATCGGTGCTGGCTGTGAGGCAGTAGCTGGTTTCCGTAAAGATTGCGTCCGGCTCAGTCCGACTGCTTGCGGCTCCGTAGGCTTGCTGACTGAGGCAGGAGGGCGCATAGAACGAGGCGCACTTGCTTTATCACTAGAATCTGCACGTTGTAAAGATGGCGAGCCATTTTGATACGCTGTACGTGCTCGGAGGCGCCCTGGGACGGCACCTGGGGCCGGTTTCTCTTGCGCCGTTGGCGTGGCAGTCCGTGACTCAGATGTATTACTCGAGGTGCTTTCTGCATCTTGGGATACGGGACTATCATCAGAAACTTCTGGAAGAATACTTGAACGTGTGTTGTATCTATGTTGACCCGGCTGAGGGCTAGTGATTGGAATATGGTCAGTCTACACCTGCTAATGTGTGTGTGCAGAGGGAATACAAACAGCAAGCTGCGTGGCTTCGCTGCCTCGACATGGCCAGATTGTGGTCTGCTCACAGATGGGCGTATCAATCCAAATGTGCTCTGACTCGCTGTACTTTGATCACCCTCAACGGACTTGGCTGGCACAGCATTCTGCCACTCGTTAGAATATCAATTTGGTAATAGGCGGTGAATTGAAGTTACCGGAGCGCGTGGGGGCGCAATACCAATCCTGCCTATTTGCGAACGAGGCTTCGGGTTCGGAATCATCGTCGATGTGTACGGTGACGCTATGGTGAATGCGCGAAATCGATAGCTTGGGTTGGTGTTGTCAGGTTATGCGCAAACAATCGAAACACTGGGTGTTTACGTTGGGAGCTCGGGGCACCCGGCCAAGCGCTATACCCGAAATAGCATATTGTTATCGATAGCCGTTAGGTTTGGATGCATGTGAGAATTGTACATAATTCGTGATCTATTCTACCTAAGCTTTGTGACTAGCACTATGCTTGACTCGTGATGCGATTGTCCAATGCCATAATGGATCCTTGATCGCAAGAGCACAGCCGAATTCAGAGTGAGGCACACACACGTCTTGCGAGAGATGCGACTTTGCTTTATCCCGATGCAAGCACGAGAAGACCAAGTGCTTCGCGTTTCGCGCTGTCTACAAACTGCCGCGACGAGCTGGGAATGAGACGCCCTCAATGGCAGGGTAATCAACAAACCAGCTGACGCGATCTGCGCCCTTTGCGTTGACCAGACCACACGGCAGTTGCTGTCCCTCATCGGTATCGAAGATCTGGCGCATAATTTCCTTCTTTCCGCCGCCTGTAGCGACAAAGGCAATCTTGAGCGCGTGTTGTGCGACCGGGAGCGAGATGGTGATGCGCTTCGGCGGAGGTTTCGGGGAGTCGGAGATGGAGAGGACCCAGGCCTCACTCTCGCGAAGTAGATCGGAGCCAGGGAACAAGCTGCAGGTATGTCCGTCTGGTCCGCAACCAAGCAGAAGCAGGTCAAACAATGGCAGCTTGACGCTGTCACGCGCAGCAAAGACGCTGACGAGCGTTTTCTCGTACTGGTCGGCTAGCTCTTGAACGTCATCGAGGTACTTGACATCGATTGGGTAGACCTTGGGCGTTCCCAATTCAGCGGGTATCTTGTTCAGAAGCTCCTCTTTGACCAGCCTGTGGTTGCTGTCTTCGTGGTCGAGAGGCACAGCGCGCTCGTCGGCGTAGAAGATTTCCCACTTGTCGAACTGCACTTTGCCTCCGCCATTCTCCTTCAGCAGCGCCTGCGCCAGAGTCTTGGGCAGGGAGCCACCGGAGACTGCGACGCGGAAGACGTGGTGGCGCTCGAGCGCGGCATTTTGCGCATCGAGAATGTAGGTGCGCAGGCTCGGAGCGAGCTCAGTAGCGCTTGGAAAGGCGTATAGGTTCGGTGGTTTTCCCATTGTGTGCAGATGCGTAATGTGTTGGTGAAGTGAAGATTGTAGGCGCGCGGTGGAGGGGTTAAAGCAGGTGGGGCTGCATGCCAGTATTTCGGCCGGTGACGATAACTACGATAGTGACGTGAGCAGCCTCTGAGCGATCTTGACAAGCCTGGAAAACGGGACAGGAAGGCAACGGCTGCCTATGAGATCAGTTCATGGCACCATCGGCCCTCGACACCGCGTCCGTTTTGAGCCAACCGTGCAGCTTGAGGCGCGGATGCCATTGTACCCCGGACTTTGCGCGATTCGCGCCGTGGAGATGGCTGGCCCGGGATGCCAGGGCAAGGCACCGGCAAGATCCTGATGCGAAGATACATGTAGATTGATTTCGCAAGAGGCATGTATTCATGCACATACAGCCTGCGAGAGAGTTGCACATGATGGCTGCTGCCAGGACGACCAATGACATGGTCCGCAGTGAACGCTAGTCGCATGTGGTCGGGTCACGTGCAATGGAATATCGCATATCCGCTCCAGGCCCTGAAAACAACTACGAACAAAACAAAGGGTCCATCTTGGCAACGTACTGAGTCTTTCATTTCCCCGATCCCCAGGTCCACATGTGACTATGTAGAAAAATGAATGACCCCCTTGATGACTCCAAACTATCGAAGGATGGAAAACAAGTTTGCAACTCGCACGTGCCATGCGATAACATCTCACATGTGCATGTTTGAGCCAACGTCGCCAACGCGGCATTCGATCCTGGGCCCAAAAGAACCAAGGTGAGAGCATCTTGGACATGTGAAGGTCGATCTAGCCGGCTCTCCCAACGTAGATCGTACCTGATATGCATTGTGACCCTTGGAAAGGATGGCTCGGTAGACCAGTCTATGTAAGCAGCTTTGTATTCGCCGACCAATTGCGAGTGAGAACAAGTATATTTAGTCGGCTTTGCGCATTCTTACGGTGCGTGCACTATTGAATCCTTCGGACGGTCTCTCTATCGCATCCCGAATGCATCCGCGATTTTCAAGGGGAAAGCATCGCACTGATAGTGCTGCCTCAGCGCGTCTGGGCCGGGTATCGCTCTCACCGAAGCAACGAAGATAGCGACTGCATGGATTACCAATTGCTTTTTCATCTTCCTTTGTGTGATGAGTGGTCTCGGTCTGCAGATGATGGCTGCTGTCGCGACTAGATTCGCAGCATGTGCCTGGAGTAGCCATACTGGCCTTGGTTCCACCGGCCGAAGCATTGATTTACACTTTCAGGCTGCATCTACGGAACATTGTCAACACGGCCGTAAGAATGCGTGAGATTCCAATGCGGGCTCCGGCGCAGCTGAATGGCCGAGCCTGGGCGAAGAATAGGGTCAAAAGCTTAGACAAGGTTTCGATGCTCGTTGCTTTTGGGACATGGGGCCTGATGTAAGTAAGCCTGGTAGGTGGGGCCTTTGGTTTCCAAAAGAAACGAGCTTCAGCCTAACTCTCTAGGCCAGCGTGAGGGTGGCGATTATCCAGTGGTTGGATGGGAAGCAAATTGAGCAGTCTGGGTACGGTTGAAGATGGTACCATGGTGGTTGCTGGTCTAGGCCATGGGGCTCTACGCCAGCACCTGCAGTTGGAACCGTTGCTCGATTGCGGACGGTAGTAGATCTTGGTCTTGCATACTGTTAGACAACGGCCACATGCATGCAGGTCCGCAGGCCAGCAGGCTAGCAAGCCAGCAAGGAGAGATTGGCGTAGAGTCAGCGCTGCAACGCTATATGCGTATGCACTCTCGGCGCAAAGCCAAATGCGCCACACTTTTGCGAGTTCGGACTTTGACGGAAGACGGGCACTCGGACTAGCAGCGCTGGACAGATGGCAGACCGAGCTTGGTGTTGGGTAGGTAGGGGTTGCGGTGATTGTGGCAGTGGCAGCGTGAGCACCATTGAGCATGTGTGTGGTTTGAAAATTTGAACAACGGTCCGGAAGCAGAGGTCTTGCGTGTTTGCCGTTACTGCAGAAACAGGGATGCAGGGACTTCGGTTAGCCCCTGGTGTGCAGCAAACATGGTTACTCGAGGTTTTGGTGGGCGTGGTGATGGCCTCTGATCTAGACCAAGAGCCAACGGTTCGGCCCGCCTAGACATCGACGATGGACAGCAACAGGCTGCGACAGTCGCGGTGTCAAAGTCCGCGGTGCAAGCAGGAATCGATGGATATTGCAAAACCTACCGCATTGGGGCAGGTTTTGGGCGACGTGATCGTGATGGCTTGGGACGAGGGACCCGGTTCTCTCGGCGAGCGGATGATGGGCACGCAGGCCGCGGCAGTCCGGGGCCGTTTTGTACACAAGGTGACAAGGAGCACATTAGTACAGTAAGCGGTACCAGTGGCAGTCTCCGAGGCAGAGTAAATGCATGCCATGGCGCCGGCGGACAGAGGCGGTGCATGGCGACAACGCAGGCGGCGCAGAGATTGCACAACCGGGTGGCAGAAAGGGCCGGCTTGGTACTTTTGCCCTCTGGGCAGATGAGGGCTGCCAGCGGCTGGTCGATGGCAGCAGTTGAAGACGAAGACCAAACGCTACCGGGACTCAAAAGCATGCAGTTTCATTTTCATCGAGTGATGAGACGGCGAGAATCGCATACAAATCTCGATATCGGCTGCCCCTCGCCCTGATGGGGGTCGCCCATTGGCTGGCGTGCGGGGCAATGCAGCCACCTCACGCTAGCCTCACTGGGCGGCGCTACAAAGCCAGCAGCGATCGGGATTGCATGGTTTGATCGCAAAGTGGGCGTCTCAGCTGCAGCCGGATGTAATCACGCCTGGCAAAAGACTTCGGACCCAGTGTCTTGAATGATGTGCCCTGGGGGCCCTCGCAGAACCCTGCCGTGCACCAATCACAAATAGCCCACCCCGGAAGCCTGTCACTGGTCCATGTTCCATCGCCGCCATGGCCCGTATGAGCATATAGGCAACCACGATCCCTCGTACCAAGACTGATTCACACAACCCATCATCCTACCAGCTACTCTCCCACACACTACACGACCCATACCATGAATGTCGATCATCTAACACCGGACTCACCCGTCTCCACTGCAACCTACTCTCCTTCACCGGCTGAGTACTCTCCCACGACCGCACCTTCCTGCTACTTCAGCATCGTGCCTGCCACACACTTTTCCTTGGAGACTCCCAGCCATAGTCCCGTCTCCGAGTACCAGCCCCACACGCCGTCGGACCCGACCCACCCGCTGCTGGCCTTCCGATTCCCACCGCCCATGTCAATGTCGAGCCCTCACGAGGCCTCGCGTCTTTTGCAGTTGCAAACCCAGGCTGCCCACCGTCCCACTCCAGAGCCTATCCAACACCAACAACAACAACAACCAAAACATTCACATCAACAACACTCCCAACATCGGGCCTCAAGCACCTCGTCGACTAGCTCCAATAGCTCCACCAGCTCATCATCATCTTACAGCATGGGTTCCCCGTCTACCCTATGCTGCTGCCGCTGCCGCCGTGAGTGCGTCACGAGCATGTACCAAATCGGAACCAACCGCTACTACTGCAGTCACTGCGCAAGGATGACCGGCTACAGTGTTGGCTGAAGCTACTGTCACACTTTCTTGGCAAAACACCACATCTCCACACAAGCACACATGCTGTTACACAACGCATACAACAAACACACACACACACGCACACACACACACACACCATCACCACCGTTTGCCTACACAGCCGCAGTACGGGGTAACCATCAGATGCAAGCAAAGCATCTGAAAGAGAAGCCCTTGGCACATTCATGCCCAAAGCGAGCATGGCAGCGCACTGGGATAGTTAGGCGGATTTTTAGGAGGATATCGGAGCTGGGCTCCGCACCTGACAGCAGGGCTGCGAGACGATTCATTTAATTGATACCCCAGCATCTTGTACATTAGATAGCCAATACCACGCTGGCAAAGCCATGCATTACCTTTACCATCAGACACCTTTCCCATACTGCTGAAGCTTGACTCGTGCTCAACAAACTGACATGTCTGCATCAACCCTTGTCTCTTCGCATGGTGATTCGCGACAAGACCCAGCCTTGCCAAGCAGCCTCTCAATATACAGGAAACTACGATCCGACGATCTTCGGCAAGCCACAGGGGCCCGTGTATCGTGGCCCACTAAGCCGCGTCGGAACAAGTGGGAACCATCGATTTAGACTTCCGCCGCGGGCGAGGCTGTCGCACATGGACCGCGTTCGCTTTGAGTAGCCCTACAAAACGGCCGCCTTTTCAAAACACGCAATGCCATCCTATAAGGTATGAAAGCACACACGTCACGTCAGAGCGCCGTTTGCGAGACACGAAACACGGTTCACAACCGTCTCGTCATCTATCACAGACAAGCCCAACCTACGTAGCCGAGGCATGTAGATTGATCTACTTTGACAGAAACGCGAATGCCATGGTAAATTCATGCACATGTGCCGACCAAGATCTTCACGCTGATCGCTTTTACTTTACTTCCTTTGCTCTTCGTTATCATCTTTAGTTAACCGCTTTCGGAAAAAAGGCATGAGACGACATCGCTCGATGCCGTGCGCCAGGCACCATCACCCTTATGCAGGGAGCAGTGGATCGCCACCGGGCTTTTGTGGGCATGTGGCACTTCTTCCACACGGACGTACAAATGATTAACAAAATCTGCCGATGACGGGCGCTCAGGGAGATGCGTATGTGGCTTTTTAGTTTTGGCCTTGCCGAGGAAGGCATCTCTTTTTTTTTCTTCCACTAGGCTGTCGCAGGTTTCGAAAAATGTGTCTGTGTCGTCGGGCGGAGTAGAAGCCGCGAGGGGTGCAGGACAGAACATGACAATGTTTATCGAGATCGGGTCATGGACTTTCACTTTGTGATATGAGCAAGGGGAATGTTTATTCATAGCACCATCAATCACACACTTGTGTTTCTCCATGATTTTGTTCCCGCCAACGAACACAGGTTTAGGTCTGGCAAGGTTGCGGGGGCTGTTTGACATGTGCGGGTGGCGGATCGATCGTTCAGAGCACGGCAATAAGGTTCCTCATCAGTGTCAAGCCGGTGTCGATTGTCGATGAAGCTTGCGCGTATGTGTGCGGGCGTTGACGGACATCGACCCAACGTTGACATGCAGCAATCTGCATGCAAACGGCAAACGACATGCAGCCCTCATTTGTCATTTGCTCAAATTGTCGTCTCACAAGACCTGAGTGTGAGCACGCGTTTGCATCATTAGACCCCACTGTCACCTCACTACAAGGAACATCCTGAGGTCATCACCACCGCCCAGTTCATCCGCGTGTCTCTCGCTCCAGCGGAGGCGCCAGGCGCATATCCGCCTTACCCTATCCACACATGTGCACGGCCATGACACCAGCCCCACCCGCAACGTCTGCCAACGCATCGACGATGGCAATCTCAGCATCGAACATCTCCCGTGCATGTTTGCCTCGCTCCCAATAATTGTGGAGTCGAAAAGTCCCGTGAAAAGGCTTCTTTCCGTCGCGTCTGGGACGTGCGCACGCTTCTGGTCGACTAGACAAGCTCTCCTCTACTTCCTTTCAACCCCTCTTCCGACCCGCGTGCCCGGTGCGAGGTTTGACTCACGCAGCGCCATGTTGGCTTGAGGGTCCTTTGTTACACCATGGGTTCTGTGGAGCAGCTCTGTCAACCCTACCTACCATATGGTAGTGGTAGCGGACTTGTGTGAGTTGTAGCCACAAACATGGTCACCCACGACGTTTCCGATGTGCGCCGTTGGAAACACCAAATCGTCGATGACGTTTGAAAAAGCGATTACTTATTCTAAAAAGTCCGATGCGCGTTATGTCATCCCGCTCCCCTCTCCCACACCATGTTCGTACGTCCCGCTCCGCACCATGGGTGAGAGTACCACTAGAAGGTTTTATTTTATTTTCCGTTTCTTCTTTCCTTTGGTTCTACGATTGATCGTGTGCGATTAGTACACGTGCAGTAAGTACCGTACATACGCGCATGTCTCTTATCGCTACCCCCATGCTGTCCCATGTTTGCGCACCCCTCACTCTCTCCTTACTACCACATACTACCAATGCCAATCTCATTACACACTACACATCTTACCCCTAGATCCCCTTTCCCACCCACGTGCTCCCCTCCCAATCCTCCTCCCACCCCTAAACCCCCAAACCTGTTTTTCCCACAAGGTCCGCCTCATTCCGCCCCGAAGAGGCCTAGACCGCGCTCTTTGGAATACAAGGAGAATACTACACGTACGCACGTGTGCACACGCGCTGTACACGTCTGTACGAACGTACGAATGGTGGCGGTAGCTACAACTCCGCGATCTACATCTAGTACCAGCCCAACCCAATCAAGCGCCAACCCCGTCTTTTCTAGAAAGTCACCTGCCCACACGCGCGATGCAACGCGTAACGCGTAACGCGGTTTAAGATTTTTTTTCCTCTCTCCTTGGGCCTAGCTGTACTAGTTCCATTGTTTTTTTCGCGGCAACTTGCCCGCTTTGTACGCACGTACCCCGGCGTCTTGATATGCGATGAGTAATCTGCAACATGAAATTCGCACTTGGGCCCAGGCCGAGGGCGAAGGGTTAGGGTTACATTTACGTCATCTAGTAGCCTTGTAGCTTGCACTAGGGTGTTACTGTACTGGTCTGCGATGTGGTTACAAACGTCGTGGGTGTTGGCGTGTTTGCCGCCGGAACTGGACTTGGCCTTTGGAGTGGAAAATATAGTCGCGCTTGGGGGTTAGAGGTTTGTGTATACGGATAGGGTCGCCGAGCAAAAACTCTGCAGAGGACTAAGCTACATGGTATCGTTGTGTAACCTCGGTTCATATTTTTTGTTATGCGATTGATTTGGTGTTGTGCTTGACATGTGCTTTCTCTCTCTCTCTCTCTCTCGATCCCAGGCGCGAGTTGTGTTTGTATCTACCTAGCTTCCTTTGACCTGAGATTTATGCACGTGAAGCGCTGATAGGGAAAATTGTTTGTCTTTCTTGGTAGAGGGTAAATTATAAGACATAGGAATCGTATGTACTACGGAGCGGTCATCTAATACTCCCAACCAACCCATACCACATCTCCCCAGAAACACCAAAATCCCGCTTCTCTTTCCATATATCACACCATCAGACAGCAGAGATTTCACAATGCAAACTTCATGTATGTTTACCATTCATTAAATATCCCATCACACTGAAACCGTTACTCTACTCCATCACCATCTCCTCCCTCATGTCCACCGTCTCTAAGCGTGATCCCTATTCAACCCGTAAAAACAATGGTTCGTGTACTCTCCCTCCCTACCAAACGTAGCATCAGCCGCTGCATCCCAAAGCGCCGTAACGTTAACAATCATCTCCTTGGTATACAACATCCGGCAATCTGACTGCTCATACGTAAACTGCAGCGGCGTCTGCGTTTCCACATCGCCATCGGCAATAGCATCCTTAAAGTTGATAGTAGCGGCGGTACCGAGGGCAACACGGTCGAGCGGCATGTTATTCCAGTACTGGTTCAACTCGGTGGAGTTCATTCTGACGGGGTCATCGTCGCCAGTCACCATGTATATAACGATTTGCTGAATATATGACAAGGCGTAGCTGTATGTTCCCCTCGTGCTGCCAATGTGCTGCATGGGGCCTTCGGCAGCGCGGCCGCCGACGGTGAGAAAATGGACTCCCTGGCGCGAACGCAGCATCTGAGAAGCAACGGCGCATGCGCCTCCGCAGGTGCCGTCGGTGATGACGGCAATGTTTTTGGCGTCAAAGAGTTGGGTGCCGGTCCAATTTTTGCGGGATCCATAGCCGTGGACGCTGACGCTTGAGTTTGTAAAGGGTTGTGTGACAAGGACGTCGTCGAAGTTCATTCGGAAGAGGTTGGAGAACTCATCGCCTTTTTGCTTTGCTCCGGGGCCGAATTTGGCTTGCCAGGATGGGAAGGGCTGACCGTTTACGTCGAGGTCGGTATGGTAGTCGAGCGAGCTGGAGAAGATGTTGGTATTCAGAACTTGGGTGGCGTTGTCCTTACTCTCTAATACGCGGGGAAATTGTTTGGATACTCCGGCGGTGGCATTGCTCAGGACTCGGATTGACTCGAATGCGCGGTATCGTTCTAGGAGCGGTTGGTCCTTGTTCTTGGGGAAGAGTAGCTCATACAAGTCGTAAGCGAGAAGTGTAGCTCCGTTGGGGTCGTTGTTGCTCTGGAAGTCAATGAGAAGCCTCTTCTTTCCGTCTGCCTTTGCCTGGGTGAGGAACTTGGTAACCGTGTCCTGGACCTCAGGCTGGGTGTATTTGTTGCCGAATGTTGGAATAGAGAGCACAGCAGTATCGCTGTGAACGCCTTCAAGGTAATATCCACCAACAGCGTTATCCTTTTGACGAATCACTGGGTTTGGGTAGCCTGGCGCGTCAAAAGGCCCCACGACTGTAGGCTTAGGGAGTTGTCTTCCACGCTGCGTGCAATCGAACCAGTTGTTGTAAAGGGTGCTTCCGTCGGTAACGTTGGCCCAAAAAGGGACGAGAACTTTGGCAAAGTTGTTGTATGTCGCCTCAGAGCCATTTGCAAACTTGAGATGGGTAGTAGCCCCTGGAAAAACGTACTTGGGATCCGCAAACGCACCGAGACCCTTGGCAGTTCCGGTAGATGCAGCAGCGGGCTGGTAGAATAGGTCATTCCACAACGCATCTTGGTCTTGGAAATTACCGAAATTGGCCAACTTTGTGAGAGACACATTGGCAACCACGTCGTTAATGTGTGTGATTGGGGAAGGGGTAAATTTGGCACCGTGTGCCTCGGCGAGCACATCGGAATAGACATATGGCTCTGGCACCGATTGTCCATCCTTGGAAACGGAAACTAGAGACACTGGACGGCCAAACTCAAAAATCGTGCCTAGGACGTCTGGGACGTAATTCAAGTTGCTATCGCGGGCGTTCTGGAAAATGATGTAAAGTTGCATGGCGAACTGACCAGTCAGCTCACGTGGCGTTTGGGGTGATTTCAAGGACAACTCACCTCATACTCGCTCGTGTAGGCGTTCCCACCCTCAAAGATCCTTGTTCTCATCCACGTGAGTTGTTTCAATACATCATACGGCGGCTGTATCTTGTTGGTGTACTCTTCTGGTGGATCCTTGATCCAGGCAAGGTTGCTTTGCCATTTCATGTAAGGTAGCAAGCCATCCACGAGACGGAGAGCAGCGCTCTGGTTGAACGGGACGGAGGCCAGACAGTCTGAAAAGTTAGTTTATATCTTGCTAGTAGCTTGTACAAGGATACTTACCAAATGCCAACTGTGCGGGCACAGTAGGATAGTGATTCTCGGTAGCGTTACCAGCAGCTATCGAAGATGAGATCTGCCCACATGCCTCGGACATCAGTTCCGGAGGCGGCGGAAGGTACCGCAACAGCTCAGGGGAGGAGAGAGCCGAAGTCGCTAGCGAGAGACCCGCGACGATTTTCGCAAAAGGACCCATGCTGGAAATGATCGAACACAGCAACAATACTAAATGAGTGTCTGGTACGCTTGTGAAGATACCCAGCGCGCTTTTCAAATGTGACTTGACATCCCTGTCTGGTTTATAAAGACATCCTGTTTACCACGGATCAGGTAGCGAACTTGCGCTTCTACCGCTATACGGGGATCCAGTCGTGAACGCTACCCCTTCCCTTGGTGCCCTTGTGCTGTTGCATTTCACATACGACTGGAATTAACATGGGTGTATGAAGTAGATCTCCGGCAAAGTAAACCTGGCGTGAGTGCCAACCATCTATTAATAGGAGACAACAAAGCCATCCTATTTACCGTACAGTTGAAGGTCTGTTGGGATGAGAATGGTAATGATTGCCACTGGACAATAAGCACTGACGCATCACTTTCTGGAGATCAGATCAAGACAAGAGTACGGTTGGTACGGTAAGCAACTAAAGTGCTGAGATGCCCCCTACCGGGACGGCTTTCGGTCAAATGTCAGCTCTGGGAACTTTCTTCATGTCAGACAATGAGGGTGGTTGTTGTATCGACGCTGTACGTAGTCGTGATTTCAAGAATTGAGATGGAACTTTGGATGGAATGAGCTGGTATGCAAAAGTTCAAAAGTTGCACGTTGTGAGGTTATGAAGGATGGCGTGGTTGTTGAAGTTCTACAAAGTCCGGACGGACCTTGAGATCTGATCCGCGCGTTAGTCCGCATTCGGATGGCGCAAATCAGGGATCTTCCCGTATTCAAGCACCAACAACTTGCCCGGGCATCATGTTGAGAATTTGTATGTGCCGTACGTTCCGCTCCCGCGAGATGTTTTTAACCGCGGCAATATCACCCCCTTTTTTCTCCAGAGAAAATCATTGGCTTCCGCAATGACGAGCGAATACAAATACGAATATGGGAGTTTTTGTTGCCACTTTTACAAGATGCATTTTGCTTTTGCCCATACGTAGATCAGAATTTAGAGCCATTGAATACATTGGCACCTTCAACATGGGTCGTGTATACTTGCCCTGAACACGAAGATACCATCCTCTAATTCTCTTTTTCAATTAGAAAAGCGACACTTCCATACAGCCCAGCAGCGCTTACTACACCGACGAAGATGACCCATTTTCTGCATGAACATATCATGTTGGGTTCTTCTGATTTCACCTGACATTCTCTTGACACGTATGAACACCTGCCCTGCGTTCTATTTGCCCGGATGGTCATATCACTCCAGCATCGTTGATTAATATAAACATAATGACTGGAATTGACAGCACACTTTTTAAAGAGTTTGGGATTATTTCGAAAAGTGTTATCGAAAGGGTGTGGAGGATATACAGAGTGTTGAACGAGAGATGTTGCAGTGTCGAAACCCCCACAACCAGAGCCCGCATGTTTGTTCGTGTTCACATCATGTGGGGAGACTCCTCATCTGTAGATCTACACCTTCCCGCCAAGCGCGTGATCTTATAGATTACCCGGACAAACGCCCCATACGGGCAATGTTCCATCCGGCCTATCCGTGAGCCTAGAGCTTATCCTCTGTCTGTGCTTGGCCTTTGACGGCAGATCTTTGATTCTCACCTACCGGGATCTTCACTGTTCCTGTTCCGCGGACCGAACATGCGGTAACTGCCATATCCCCAGAGTCCAGCTATCTTGACGTTTTCTAGGCAAAATCTCATAGTCCCTATTATATCTCCCTATCGATTTTCTAAACCTCTCTTCCATGTACCCAATTTCTCAATGGACTAGTCGTATGCACATCACACCTCCCTCTCACAATGTAATCCTGACCCTCGGGTTGGTTTGAACCTCACATAGGTTATACAACGGCCTTTTCATTGTGGCGGTCACTTCACTGGAGTCCTAGAAGCAAAATATGGTGCCTTGATCAGCCAAAAGAAGAACGTAGCGCAGCACTCCAAGATGGGAGAGAGAGAGACACTGTTTCTAGCTAGGGGTTATCTTCGATCGCGAATTTACCGCGTCGATGTGATTTTTTAGCGTCTTTTGGATGCGTACACTGCTTATGTCGGTGGTCATGGGATATCGAGTATGTTGATTTACTTGAAGAAAGAAGATAAGCTCTTTGCTCATTGGAAGTGACGTCTGACCGTGAAGAGCTCCATGTTTGGGTATATCCCTTCCAGGACATTTTACGGTAGAAGTAGGTAGATACACCGTGCAAACCATGGGCACATCATGTTTATACAAAACTCGTAACGTACCTAACGGGCGAGTGGGCCACACGGGCGAGTGGGCCACCTGCGCTAAGACCCCATTAAAACCACGACTGTACACGACTATATAGCACCGTCAAAGATAGTAAATAGAAATCGTAATAGGCTATTCTACTCAGAATCTATCGCTGCTTCTTGCCTACATGTGCGCATATTATGTCCTGCCTCGCCGCAGCGTCCACAGCGTCGTTGGCTAGGCTCGCCTGCCTCAACGCGCACTCTCTTCTTCGCCTTCTTCCTATCACTACATGCCCCAAACTCCTTAAGAGTCGTCAGTCGCACGCCCTCATCAATTGTTAAGGTCCCTTGCTGCTGTAAGCGCTTCCTTTTATATGATCTACGCTTACTTGAGGCCTCGTTGGCGGCTTGGAGCTCAGCGTTGCGCTTGGTCATTAACACCAGAGAATGCGCTATCATCTCTGCACCTTTTGACAGGCTTTTGATCGCCTCAACCATATACGTAGGTGAGCTATCTACATGTCTTCGAATCCTCTCTTGAATCAGCTTTGATTGCGACCCAAGTTCTAGGGTATTGCTTGGAGTTTGCGACTGCCAGGGACCGTCCTCGACGGTAGGTAGCAGTGGAGTGCGCAGCCGCACGTCAAGCGTCGATATCACAGCCTCTGGATTAAATGGGACTAAGCCAGCGCCTCGAAAGCTTCCTTGTATATTGGCCTTTGTAATCGCAGCGTCAAAAGCGCCTTTAAAGCACGGTAGGAACTCTAGTTTAGTGATATGGGTGATCATGTTGCGCATTAGATCCTCGGCTTGGCGGCCATACGCTGTCTTCAAAGGCGAGAAACACCCCACATCAAGAGGCTGTAGTAGGTGCGACGAGTGAGGAGGCATGCAGAGAGTAATAATGTTGTGATCCTTGCAGTACTGCTGGAAATCGAGCGAGTCGTGGCTCTCGTGGCCGTCGATAATAAGCAGACGATAGTTTCCTACAGTCCTCTTCTTTGTGTGAGCGTCAAAGTGCTTTAACCACTCTAGACCAAGCTTGTTTGTTGTCCAGCCGTTCTCAGAGACTGCAATAACCCAGTCGCGAGGTAGGTTATCTTCCTTGTACCAGGCAGAGAGGTGGTTCTTGCCTTTGAAGATGATAAAAGGTGGGATTGCCCACCCAGTCGCGTTGATACCCTGGATCACTGTAGCCCACTCGCGATTGCCCTGCTGAACGCTCTTTGGTCGTCCTCGACGCTCAGAGCCTGTGACTACTGCTCCAGTTGATATCATGCCCATCATGAAGCCAGACTCGTCAAAGTTGTGGGTGTCCTCATCAAGGATACCGTACTTGGCCTTTGTGTTCTCCACAAGTCGGAACCAGCCTTGTATAACCTCAGGATCCTCACAGAGGGCTCGCTTGTAGTCATACTTGCGATTGAATTTGACCTTAAGCTCAGGGCGACGTTTGACGAAGGTTGCAGCCCAGTTCTGACCAACAGGGTCGCGGTGGCGCTCAGCCAACAAAGAATTAGCCATATCCTGCACAGCAGCAAGTCGGGGCGGAAATCCTCGCGCGTCGAGGTCAAGGATATGCTGGACAATTACATCCTCCTCTGTCTTAAGGAGGTTCATTGAGTTAGGCGTACAATCGCTCCGAAGAGGTATTCCAGCGCGTCGGCGCCCAAGAGTTACTCGAGATACGTTGTAGATAGCTGCAGCGCGTCTCTGCGACAGCGTCGCGTCGCGTTCGATAGCCTTGAGAGCAAGCTGTAATCGAGCCTCTTTTAAAGCTGGTAGATTGTTTTGTTGTTGGCTCATTGTGAAAGTACTGTAGGTAACAGTATGTTTTGGTGGGGTCTTAGCGGAGTGGCCCACTCGCCCGTGTGGCCCACTCGCCCGTGAGGTACGTTATACATCTTCCACATTGCTTAGACCATTATATCCATGTCCACAGATACATTAACAGAAAGCCCACCAAATCTAATACTCCACCGACGTCCCTTATTATTCTATTTTAAAGAAATTCTAAGAACATCTTCTCTCTATGCAAACCCTACCATTCACGAAAAAAAATACCCATCACATTCACTTCCTGTCTCACCTACCCATGTCTTCAATACAACCATCGCCAAGCTAAGCCACTCCCGCCACCCAACGCCTCCAATAAATCAGCAATGAACCAGCGTTACTTTTGTCGTCTAAAACCGCGTCTCGAACAACAAAAGCTACTGGAATGAAGAAGTACTCGGATCGAAGAAGGTGCCGCGTGTTCCGTAAATGTTCTAGTCTCTAATTTGACGTCCGCTCTATCCGGGAGATATTATCGCGTTTACCGCTGTATGCTGCACGCGCGGAGGTTATTGGTTTGTGCTTTTTTTTTAAATGGCGCGAGGGAAGGAATGGAATGGAAAAATCTGGTTTGGTAGCTTACGTTGTGTGGTGTTGACCACTTCAGCT